TTTGTAAATACAGATAGAGAGGAAATTTCTGGCGGACAACAAACTATTGTATAAAACTGAAACTAGTAGATAGAGCTTATGAAAAATAAATAATAATAAATAAATTGTAATCACTATTTAAATATAATACGTTTTTATGAATTTTAGATTAAGTTTCTTATGCATTGATCGATTATAATTTTAAGATTTTTATTATTATTATTATTATTAAGCTATACGCAAACTGTGTATAATATTTTTCGTTAGGTAGGGTATAATTTACATTTTTGTTTACCGTTTTGTGAAGAAATAGTAGTTATGATTTGTGTTGTAATAATATCAGTGCTGCTGTATTCAGTTATAGTCTAAAACAGGTGTAATAAACAGCACTGTGGGGGTCGTCAGTTTGGTTTTACTGCGGGTTGTGACCGTGCTTTGTAAGCAACATCAAGAGGGAGGCGGTTGAATTGCCTTTTCCTAACTGAGAATGCATTTTGTATCTGCTGTTGCTTGACACTATACTGTACAATTTTCTTAATTATATAATTTTATTATATATACTTATCCCCTTTATTAGCAAATAATATTTATAAAAGTGTAAAATGCTGCAAAGAGTCAATACCAACTCTGCCAATGAGAAAGATAATTTTAACGAAACTAGTAAAATATCACCGATGCAGTAATAACAATAATTACAATTGTATCAATTTGTGTTATGTTGTAATACTTGCAGTACTGTGTTCAAAAAGTCTCAATTGTATTTGCTGATGCTACCATTGCTACAGTATTATAACAGTCACACAATACAGTAAGCAACCTCATTTACGCGCGGATCCAGAGTACCTCCTGACTATCACACAGGTGAGGTCCTAGGGGCGGATCAGAGCTTACAATAGTGACAAGTAAAGGGCAGGGTCGTATACAGAGAGAATGTAATTCGTGGTTGTTCTGTCAAATTGATGCAATTTCAAATTGATGCAATTTCAACCTGGGTTGAAAATAGGAAAAATATGCTATAGTGCAATATTAGTGTGGGTATATATTCTAGTGTGGTCTGATGACCAATAGGCCTAATTTAAATGAAAGAGTCTAAAACAGTTAATTTTGTACCAATACCTACAAAGCTTTATTCAGCATCAATTATTATAATGTACATTATAAAATTGACTACTAACTCCATGTTTCTCAGATGTTGAAGTGAAACCCTTTTAGAGTGGTGTCGGTTCTGAGTTGTTAGCTTGCATCATCTAAGTTTAAATCTTTATCTCCTCTCTAAGTGTCTGATATTTGGGGGTACATTCTCTATCTTTCTAGTATCGTGGCTTGTCTTAATTACATCACTTCATACTTTCTGCTTGGATCATAGAGAAATAGAAATAGTCTGAGAAAAGCATTATTGTTTAATTAAAAATATTAAGAATTCGTGATGATGTATATATGGCGATTCAAAACAATTTAAATCACTACGGAATAATTATGTCTGCTTCATTAACGAATAATTTTCATATAAATGAATATATATAATATATATATATATATATATATATATATAGATTAAAAGGCAAAATACTGGAAAACAACAATGCTGTGGGAAACAATGGCTGGATCTCAGTAGAGNNNNAAACAATGGCTGGATCTCAGTAGAGATACAAAAATGATAAGCAGCAGCTAAAAAGTAAACGTAAGTAAACAGCCAGAAATAGAACCAGAGCTTTCGGACAACACTAGTCCTTCCTCAGTGGCGAGATATATATATATATATATATATATATATATATATATATATAATTAAGAAGTTTAATTTAAAGTCTTCTATCTGTACTCTACAATAACGTTGGCTTTAATTATTGATATACTGTATTTAGTATCAGCATAGCAATATGATTATTTTTCAATATAGATTTAAAAAATATAATATCATATCACGTTTCCTTAAAATCAATATTTACAATGACAGAATTTCTGATCTAACAGACAATTAAGTAAGTTATTACTACTGATGTTGACAACAATGTTTAATCTACAACAGATGTTGTTTTAACAGTTAACCGATGCTATTTTTTAACCTGCCAGGGGCTCTTAATTTTCTGGCACATAATGTCGGTATTACAGGGAAAATATCAAAGTAACACTGGAAAATCCGGTATCTTAGGATGCCATAGGGCCTATTACTTTTATAATATTTAAAATAACCACGTACGATTGACGGAAATAACGCTTTATGACATAGGTTTTTGGAATGTGTATTAACTGTAAATTATTATTTGTGTTACGTATTATAAGCCTAAGAAACATCTCGTTAAAAATAGGGTCTTTAGCGAACGAATATTATTTCGTTCGGGATTTCAGACTTTAAACTATAATAAAACAAATCTATGCAAAAAGCTATGTGGTTCACGTTTTAAGAGAATAAATTAATACGCATATTCCAAATAGGCTGAGCGAAACATTATTTTTTTTAATTGAAGAATAATTTCAAAAATTCAGATTAAATAAAACATATTTTTAGCACAGTATCAAACTATCAATTACAATATTCTTAATAATAATAATAATAATAATAATAATAATAATAATAATAATAATAATAATAATATAATATCGATTATAAAAGACAACCCAAAACAACAAAACATGTCATGTCTTAAGTTAATGTTGAGATTTCCTAAACTCCCTATCCTGCCATAATTAAAAAGTTTTTTTTTTCATTTCCCAACAGCTGGCCTAGTAGAAATGCTACTCCGAATCCCTGTATGAACATGTATCATATTCTTCCAGTAAATGACAATAGCTACTAACAGTAACGTAGTTTTACATCTATGGCATCTATGAAAAGAAAATCTTTTTGGGAGTTTGAAAAACAGAATTATAGCAAGGGGGAAAACAATTTCCTTCTGCCGTTAGCTTAGTGTCAGCTTAATAATTATTCATATTCATAATATAATTAAGGAAGAACTGTTGAAAGGTTTCTTTTCTTTAGTTTATACTAAAGGAAATATAATATTTCCTTTACTATAAAGGTCACAACGTACGCACTCTTCAAGACAGCTCCCTCTTCGAGATATTAACGGTAAAAATAAAACTTTTAAAAATGTTTAGAAATAATTGATCTGGTCTCCCCCATTAAAAGAAAAATATTTTGTCTGGACCCTAACACTTTAGATATTTATTCACAATTTCAGGTGGGATTTAAACCTCTGACAAAAATTAAGAATATTATCTTTATGCATTTCTTGAACTTTGAAGAGTTGTTCTCGGGTGGGACTCGAACACACGATCCCCAGATAGTATATACAACAAACTAGTTAGTTAAACGGCAGTGTGCTACAAAGGAGAGGGGAAAATATATTACCCGATTCTTGTCACAACGTACGCACTCTTCAAGAGTCTAAAGACCATGTAAGATGTTTCAGTATCTCCGTTCTTAATTCTTTACTGTTTGTTTTCTGTAAAATCTGTGCTCTAATTTCACTATCGAGATTAATTTTTAAACGAGTCACAAATCGGTCGAAGGTTGCTCACACCGCTTTAGCTCTGTAAGCGTGTATACAGACAACGCTGCACCGTGTGCAATAATACACATCTAATTTCGTAGTTACGTCTCGGTTACGTGTCGCCATCTTCGGCTAACGTTTTATAGACACTGTACACCCTGTTTGCTTTTAGCAAAAGAAGCTGTGTTTGCTTTTTATTATCAGAAATGATGTTCTTGGCTACAAAATGTGCTTCAATTATACTTCGCCATACATCCATTATAATAACAGTATAAACATCATTGTTACCAGAATCCCACCTTCGTTGCCAATGTAAGTTATCATTTTTTTAGTGTTGGTTCTAGCTTGTACTGAATTTTATAGTTAACGAGAGTAATCACAACAATGACCTCATGGTTTGTAACCAACTTGGGAGGGATTTTATTCATCATATATTAAACGTAACGCAGTCACAATATAATATCAAAAAGTTCTCCATGATCGTACCTTTCGATTTTGAGAAAATATCGAATGTTGGTATTAATACGTTATCAGAAAAAAAAACAAGTATTTTTTCTCCATTGTTAACACTTGTGTATACAAATATATGAAATCTTAATAGCGAAATGTGTAGATTTGTGAAGTAGTCCACTTCAAATGCGTTTTTCTCAAATTGAAATTTGTTTTAAAATTTCAATTTCAAACTATGAAAATTTCCAACTGAGAAAATATCCAACTGTGAACATTTATAACTGGATTTACCTAGGGAAGTAGCGTTCTCGTTTTCAACGTTAACTATAAAGGTTTATTTAAAAATAGAAATTTACTTGATCATCGAACTCTGCTGCCACGTTTAACTTTTCTGTCTGAACAACAAAATGTGTCGAGTAGTCTTTATGGAGCGATATGACCACCAGAAAGTGGAAACAGCCTCAATATTATTGAAATAAAGCTTGACTATAACTTAGTATAAACTAACAACAAGATGTGTGCAGTTATGCATATTATTGCATTTAATGAATATATATGTAATGAAGACTACATTGCAGAGTGACAAAATTAATTATGGAGCAATTTGTGTATTGATATATGAAAAAATTGAACATTTCTTAACTTTGCTCATCTAATAAACTTTTTTTAAGTTATATAATTAATTATGCCTTAAGTTGAGTGTTTTCTTCACCGTTTCTTCTTCGGTGGTTTACAAAAAGCCCATTATTTTTGCATCTTCAATCGCCTTCCACTTGATTAACTAGTCCTATAAAGCAAAATAATTTTGTTTAAACCACTTCACATAAGACTTTATTCTGATATAATTATAATTTTAATAATCCAGAATAAATTTGCTTACCACATTGGATGAGGATGAATTACAGTAAGATGGTAAATTAAAATATTCGGATACATCAGTTAATACTTGGTAGTTGTAGTAACTAGAACTATACAATTCTTCAACTGAAATCAATATAATAAATAAGTAAACATTTAGTAATAAATTTAGAAATTCTTATAAAGTATCAGATAAAAAAAAAATATATAGAGTAGGCATCAATGTGATTTCATTAAAAGGAGTATCTCAAAAATTGAAGAGTTTGGAAAGCTTTCTGGTTTAGGCCTTAAAATAGAAAACAAATGCAGATATAAGTCCCCAGTTAGTTCACATCTGTTCACGGTTGTGTCTCCTTGCTCCTCTCCAATTTTTCCATCAGTTTCGTAGTCATATTCAAACTTCCACCTATTAACTAGCACATCCCCAGGGTTATTGAATTGACCAATATATTGTGCATAATCTATTGAAAAAATAAACATCCTGAATGATTAGTAGTAAAATAATAAATAATCAAGTCTGTAAATTAGTCATGTGATAATTATTAATTTTTCTTTACAATGCGAATACAGTAGAAATATGAAGCTATTCAGTAAAAATTAATAAGTATGGCGTTCCTCAGAAAAAATCGGTTTCTCATTATTTTAAATGTTTATCAACGATACGCTATGGCAATTAGTATTACATTAGGCTCATCTACTCATGTTTGTAGATAATACTAACTTACGTTTACATAAGTAACTCATTACAACACTGTAGTGCATACGAAAAAGGGGAATTCAAAATTTAAATGCCTTTACGAATCGTTTATTAATAAGCTTGCTATAACTTAATAGCATTTTTATTTCTCCTAAATTTAGAACAGTGCAAACAGTGCAATTATCAGAGAAATTAAGTCTCATTTTTAATGATAAAACAAGATCTTGTCCTGTTCTCCTTAGATATAGCATTGCTCAATGATAGCGCTGCACATCTTCGAATTGTCGCTGCTTTTGGCTTACCTGGAATACACGCCTTGCCTTCCGGCTCACTTCCATTTGACATAGGCTCCTTCTCACACACTTGTGTTTCAAAATTGTTAGTCCATGTGATATTCTACAAAATGAAACAAATATTATAATATGCAAATGTTCTTTAGGAGCGATAGTATAACATAGGTGAATGATAATTGTTAACGTCACAATGATAGGTGTACAATTATTTATGTATAGAAGATTAAATTTAAAAACAAATCATTATGGTAGGAATCATCCCTTGATACCTATATAATTTTAATATAGTATGTGCACTATATTTTCTTATTTGCATTTTTGAATTGTTTTGCCTACTTGATAACTATTTTTTTTATGTCTTATTCATATGCAAACATGTCTACATATTATATTTTACATAATATACTTCATCTTAGAGGCTTGTGTTCGGTCCAGACTCCTTTATGGTACCAAAACCTGGTTTCCGAATAAAAGCGAAATTAAAAAGTTGAAAACGTGTTGGTAAAACTGCTGAAACAGATCGTCAAGAGAGGGTTTGGCAGAGTAGGAGAACAATCGAAAGAGGAATGCTTTACACTAGTATATTATAATGCACGGATAGGAGAAGTTGTTGGAACATCACCATTTAGAGACTGTATATACAGTCATTAAACGTTAGAGGTCTTAGAGATAAACACACAAAAAAAAAAAACTACCACAACCACCTTTAAGTTGGCTCAAGATAACAAGGTCGATATCTTTCTTGTTCAAGAATCGCATCTTACAAAGGATCTTGCCAATAATTTTGATTTTCTATGGGAAGAAGATGCTATCCATAGCTATGGTACATCTTTTAGTAAAGGTGTATCAATATCAATTAGACAAGATCTCGAATACAAATGCATAAGACAGATTATTGATGCAGAAGGTAGATTCATTATATTAAAAATCGAAATCAATGGTACTGCATATAAAATTGTTAACGCTTACGCTCCCAATTACAGTAAGCAGCATAGCATCTTTTTTAAGAAACTACAAAAACATATCCAACCTTACTATGACACACATTCTTGTGTTCTCATAAGGGGTGATATGAATTGTATACAGGATAAAAGCCTTGATCAAAAAGGAAGTAAGATGAAAAATGATAATTCTGTATACACAGTTAAAAACTTCATGAAAAATGTTAAAATAATTGATTGTTGGAGAACCATGAATAATTATAAATTACAATTTACATGGCGTAGGTAATCGGCCAATCTCTTTAAGAGGCTCGAATACTGGTTCGTGTCAAAAAGTTTGCACGTGACAAGACGCATCGTATCCTGCGATGTTAGACCGGCTTTGTTCACCGATCATCAAGGTGTTTCCAGATTTGATGGAGGAAAAACGAGGTCTTGGCAAATGGAAGTTAAACACTAGTTATCTAAAAGACATTACATTTATTAACAAGGTTAACGAAATCATAGATGAAGTTAAACCCAAAATGAGTTTTCTCAATCAATGTGATCAATGGGAAATTATTAAAATAAGAATTAAGGAATTTCACTCTCCTTCGGTAAAATAAAAAAATAAAAAAAATCTAAAAAAGAAAATCTAAAAAACTTTATTGAGCAATTAAATGAGAAGTTGATAAATAATATAAGTTGTAGTGGTGAGCAAATTAAAAAATAACTCCAAGAGAAAAACAAAGATTTAAAATCGATATAGACATACGAAGTCAAAGGTGCCCAAGTTAGATCAAGAACAAAATGGGTAGAGGGAAAAGAAATTCAAAATATTTTTTTGGTCTGGAAAGAAATAATGGTATTAGGAAGCAAATTAGGAGAATAAAAAGATCGGATGGGACATTTATGTCCAAAAGGCAGGTGAAATATTGTCGGAACAAGTTCAGCATTTTGAAAAATTATACGCATCCCAAAATATACAAAAGAAAAATGTCGAAATATACTTAAAATCAATAAAATCCAAAAAATTACACAATTGCTGAAAGGCAGGATTTTGAAGGCAATATTACTTTAAGTGAATGCCATAATGCTATAAAAGAAATGAAAAAAAAATAGGGCTCCAGGTGCAGACGGCCTCCCTATAGAATTCTACCAGCAATTCTGGCCAAAAATTGGTCCAATAGTGTGCGATTCTCTTAACATGAGCCTGAAAAGTTGATCGTTGTCCCACTCACAACGTAGAGGCGTAATCAATCTTATTTTTTAAAAGGGTGAGCATGAAGACTTAAACAACTGGATGCTTATAACTCTCCTGAATGTAGATTACAAACATAGCTGCTTTTGTTTTAACAAAAAGATTACAAAACGTTATAACCAGTATAGTTAGTATTGATCAAAAAGGTTATATAAAAGGTCGTTTCGGTGGCGAAAACATTAGATTAATAGAAGATTTTGATCGAATACACGAATGAAGAAAGTTTAACAGGCGCAATGATTAGCTTGGATTTTAGAAAAGCATTCGACACGGTAAACAGGGATTTTATGATGGAAACGCTTCGTTACTTTAACTTTGGTCAATCATTCATTGATTGGGTCATTGTTTTGTATACTGAAACGGAATGCATTATAACGAATAATGGTTGGCTATCTAGAAGTTTTAAAATGAATAGGGGCATCAGACAAGGCTGTCCTTTGTCTGCTCTGCTATCTATAATGGTTGCAGAAATCATGGCAATAAAATTAAGAAGTGATCATATTATCAAGTAAAGAAGACTTAGTAATTGAAGTCAAAATAGCCCAACTAGCTGATGATACGGTATTATTTGTGAAAGATGAGTTGGATATTAAAAGGAGTATCTCAAAAATTGAAGAGTTTGGAAAGCTTTCTGGTTTAGGCCTTAAAATAGAAAACAAATGCCATGTGGTTAGGTGAATGGAAAATAAGAAAAGATGAACCGTTTGACATAAAGTGGGTTTACAATGGCTTTAAAATACTTGGTATTTATGTTGGTCATAATCAACTTTTTTTGTCGCACCAAAAACTGGTCTGAAAAAATAAATAATTAAAACGCCTACTTTCTTCATGGCAAAAAGGAAACTTGACCTTCCTTGCAAAAGTTACAATATTATAAACACTTGTGCTTGCAGAACTTATATACAATGCAAGAATTATTGAAATCCCAGAACTTTATATAAAACAAGTTGAAAAGATTATTTTTGATTTTCTGTGGAATAAGAAGACAGAAAAAATAAAAAGACTAACACTAATTGGTGATTACAGCCTTGGAGGCATAAAAGCTTCTGATTTCAGGTCACAGGTTAAATGTTCGAAAATTACTTGGCTTAAGCGTCTTTACAATAAAGATGTAGCCATGTGGAAGTATCTACCTCTCTGGATCTTAGATAAAATTGGTCCACAGAATATTTTTATGAACATTTCACTATGTAAGAAATGGCAAGTTCTAAAGAAAATACCTACATTTTATCAAACGTTACTTTACGATTTAGCACACCTGAATCAGTGTGTTCTTCATCTGCCAACTTGCTATGAAGAAGTGTTAGACGAACAAATTTGGGGTAATAAAATGATTAAATTTAATGGGCTTTCCTTGCTGTTTAGAAATTGGATTAGATCACGTATAAATAGAGAATAGGCAATAGATTTGTTACAACAATTGAGCTACTGACAAAACTACAACTCAAGTCCAACTAGATTTTAGAATACTCTTGTCTACTAATTGCCATTCCTTGCACATGAAAACATTTAGTTTCTTTAGTAAAGAAGGGAATGGTGGGCGGTCAGGAAATACTAGACCACAAAATGATTGGTGCAATATGAATTGTCAACAATTTCATATATGTTTTAATAACCAAAATTATATTGAACATTCAAAGTGCCAAAAAAGTGGGAAATGTTTTTGAGTCCTCAGTAGACTGGTAGTCAACTTGGACATAGAAAGTAAAATCAATTAAAGAAAACAAATCAACGTAATGTCTTTTTACTCTCTTGCGCTTTTTGATACCTTTTTTTTGCGAATTGATTTCTGTATTTTTTTTTAATCCTCATATTTATAAATGGCCTTAATGCTAACGAATCCATAATTAAGAGAAGAATTTTGGTTGTAAAGCTTACGATGTATAATGACGTGCTTTATATAAATGACTTGCCTCATATTAATGTTCTTTTTTTGTGAAAAATTGAAATTCGTATTTTATTTTTAATATTGTTACTAAATATCAAGGTTATTTTGTTGTATTTTATTAAGCATATTTTTATTGAGGAATGTATTTTATATGTAAATGATGATGATGATAAAGAAATTATGCAAAATTGTTTGAATAAAGGTGGGTGTTCCCCACGAAATATAAACAAAAAGGACTATACATACAGTCAGTACATTATATATGTTTGCAGGGGGCCAAATACATCTCTTACAAAAAGTTATTTGCTGCTCCAACCAGGCGGTACCACCGTCGCACTTGGCTTAAAATATCTTGTATTTTAAGCATTAGAAGTTAAGAAAGCCAATGCCATTACACAATCAAAATAAAAACTAATCGAACACCTAAGTATGCTGTTAAATGCTGAACGGGTTTTCGGCTCCAGCTCTACGATGTAGAAAGAAGGATCACATTAGTAAGTAAGTGTATTTTGATATTTTTTTGCTTATTGTGTTTGTTTAAAATAATTTATTTTTTACATGCCTTTAAAAGAAGCTCCATTCTTTTTGCCATTGCTATTTTTTTTTTATTGAATTTAATTGATCTTTAAAAATAAAAGATACTAATTACATATTAATATTAATATTAAAGTCTGCCAACCTGTTTGAAGTCGTCAATATACATATATTTTGTTATGTTTCCTTCTTCACTCCTTGTAATGTTATAAAAAAAACGTAATTGAACAAAATCCATCACCGTCATAAAAGTGTACTTGGTAATGTACAGGTGTTGGTCATCAGGTGCACCAAAAACAATTTCTTAAACCAAAAAGAGAACAAATTAGTATTATGCAAAGCACCACAAAGAAATTTATATTAAAGATATTTCTTCATACTTACGTAAAGTGGTGGATCTAAAATATGCCTCAGTGGCCGACAAAAGGGGCAAATGATCATTACACCACAGTTTCTTGCCATACACATGATGGACACAATTCTAAGAAATTTAACCGAAATTTTACACGCATCGCATCAGAGTATTTAGTAAAACATTGTGACAATGTAGACAGAGTATGGATTATGTAGGCTACACTCCATGTACATAATTTTAGAGACTTTCTATGAGAAAGAAGCTAATGCATAGCGGCCAAAACTGAACGTTAAATGATTGCGGCTGAAAACTGATTGTTGCAGCTGTAAGAAACTTGGTTTATCAAAACTTTTACTCTTTTGGGACGCGGCAGGCGGTAGTGGCGTGTTTAGTGAGAGAAGCCGAACACTTATAATTTTAAGAGAGCGGACAGTCACCATCCTACTTAGATCAGGGCATGGGCGGTTTCAGGATTTTTAAAACCCAGGCGTTCACCATAGAATAGTGCAAGCTTGGAAATGCTAAATAGATGCTTGGTCGTGTGAGTATTCAGGTTGTGATTTAGCCAGTAGCATAACACTGGGGCCGGGGCCCTGTGGCATTTTGAGATTTGTGGCCTTTTTCTTGCCTCCCGGCCGGTGGCTATTTCCTATGTGGGTTTAATGACGGAATAAATGATATGATATTAGAAGCGGATCCGGGGATTTATAATAAAGGGGTCTACAACCTGGATAAATGTCACTAACAGACTAGAAATTTGACAATGATTGTCTTTTAACCACTAACTTCCCCCTTTTAATTCGTTAGTGAATATGATATAATCCCATTGCCGATTTTATGTATTAACAAATAATTTGTTTGGGGCATGGTGTTAGATCGAGAACCCTGGGTGGGGGACTTTCAGTGCCTCTAGATGGCGGAGGTCGTGCAGGCCACTACACGAGAGTACATAGGCGTTCCGCTAGTTGCTCTAGTGTAGTGCACATGCGAATATATTTAAAATACCAGCTAATCTTTAGGAAGGCGGTATTACATAACGTAATACTTTCTTGCATATATTTAACTGACTTAATGGAAACAACTCAATTAAAAGAGGTACATAAATATAATACTATATAATCATGATAATACATACCGCCACTAAAAGTGTACATGTCATGGTTTAAACAGCATCGTTGCTTCTGACTGCTGCAAACAACACAGCACAGCGCGACAACATACGCATAAAAATGCATCGTTTCAAATTCTAATAAATCGAATAACGTGGATATCAGAATATCTGACTTGTGCGTCTGCTGAGACTAGGGCGTGAATTTATATACAGCAGTATTACTGGTATGGCACCTCATTGAGCAATTCCCATGTGATAGTTTGTTGTCGTGTGATTAATGGACCTTGTTATAAATTATGTTTATGTATGCCACGCCTAAAACATAAATACTATTGCAGCAAATCGTATCCGAATAGCGTTTCATCTCACTATTGCTTAGTATTAGGTTCTTGAACTGCAGTTTAATTAAAAACTAGCTGCAGCAGGTTTACTGGTCTGTGATTGGTCAAAACGTGCATAGAGTACGAAAAAAATCACACAGTTTTTAAACGTAACTGCGGCGAGTTAAAAACCAGCCTCACGCGAGATACTTTTTTGCTAAGTGATAAAAGTGAAACCTGAATTGGAAATAATCAGAATAATAAGAATTAAGACTAAATATTGTTAAAACAGAGTACGCTAAAATTAATAAAAAATCAAGTTGAGTAAAATAATATAATATAATATAATATAATATAATATAATGTAATGTATTATAATATAATATAATATATATTGAATATATATATATATTGAATATATATATATATATATATATATATATAGACAAATAAAACATGAAACACTAGGTTAAAGACTCAACATTCGATTGCACTGCAGGCTGGTCTATGAGGGGTGCCTCAATCATCATGTGCTAGGCTCTGAAAGTGTTGAATCTTTAAACCAGTGTTACATGTTTTGTTTGTCTATCTGCTCTGCTATATACTGCATTGAGCACTCTTGGCTACATGATCTGGTTTAAGCCAATCACGCAGATTAATATTTCTTTCAATTTTGAAGAAAATAAACCCCTCCCCCAAAATAGATAAATAAATAAATAAATATTTATAACAATTAAACGTTTCGTTTCTTTATCTCCAGTCACCAAGAGGTATTCGTGAGAAAAAAAAAATACGACATATCTAACCTCTGCCGATTCAAGCGAGCGAGCTAACAAACGCTTATTTTTATAGACATTTTCGATGTAAATCAGAGCGATAATATAAAAAAAGTGATATGTTAGTAAAAAAAAAACGAAAACAAACTGTTAAGTTACTTAAAAACTTAAGGTAAAACTCCTACCCCTTTCGTCAGTAAAGCCCGGCGCCATGTAGTTAAAAATAAAATACCAGGCAAAATTTAAAAAAAAAATGGCTGAGTAAAGCAATATTGTTATAATACAAAAAGTATTAGGTGTTTTTATTGGTGTTATAGCAATTCTGAACAAATTTATTCAAAACAGAATATTTCTCCTACGTCGACGAAATATGTTACATAATAAATATGCTTAACTTATCATCGTAAAAAAAAAATAAATAAGAACCAACGAATTATTTACAAATCTAATTTCATGCCGTGAAGTAAAGTAAGTCAAAAATCACGACTTACCATCTGTATGCTATAAAGAAAAATTATTTAATAACTTTTAACTGGCCTCTACAATAATGTTTTGTTTAGACTAATAGATATTTTTATTACAGTATGTCAGTATATAAATAATTATAATTATTGTTTAATATGTCAAAACAGCAGTATTGTTAAGTGGTGTAAGGCAATATCTTGTATTCTCCCTAATTTTTTTGTTGCCAGGAAATAATTGTATAATGCATTGTATATCTAAAAATAATACAATCATAATAATACAGAAAGTGAGGCCATATTTACACAACGTTTCGACTTTATTAAGTCATCATCAGGATGACTTAATAAAGTCGAAACGTTAAGTAAATATGGCCTAACTTTCTCTATTTGGAGTCACTTTTGTTGTTTTATAATAATACAGCATTGTGTACATTCAGTATCAGATATTCAATAGGAATTTTTATTTATTTGTGATTTAAATACTATCAGTATACATGCAAAGTAAAACAATAAGTTTACAAATATGTATACATAAATATATAATAATTCCATATAGTATAATTTGTATTTTCTGATTCTATACAGTATAGATAATAACCAAAGATGACTGAATGCCTATTTAGAAACATCTTTTTTTGAGAAACATCATTCATAATATTTTGTTATACAGAATATGTTATAAACTGTTAACTGAAAATATGTATTAAACTGTATTAAAATAATATAGAGTTCATAAATTTATTTAAAAAAAATATAGGTACATATAGTACTTACTGCATAATCATGTGTAAATTTAAGATGAAGTTCGTATCACATTCTTATAAAAAAAAGTAACCTACCATATTTCAACACAAATATGACTATTAAAGTTAGACATGAACACAGTTTTGCAGTTTCATTGGGGATCACCTTGAAATCAGTAGCACTCACTCGTTTCCGAGTAGTGCATCCAAAATACAAAAAAAAAAATCATCTTAACTAAATATTACACACTAAAAATATAATCTACAAAATTATGTACAATAGAAATGTAACTCAATCTAACGTTCATACCGTTTACCATCACATTTTTCTGTGAGTTTTCTAAGTAAAATAACAGTAACCTGGACGATATGGTTCTAGGCTATTGATATATTTCTGCAAACGTTGTGTGTATTTCCGTCTGAAATCAAGCCAATCTTCTTTTAGTGGTTATGATTTTTAGTTATCCAAATATTAAAATAAATTAACATTTCGATGTAACAAAATAACTCTATGTTCTTTTTCGTAGGTCTATTTCTCCGATCTGCACATACCAAATGCATTACATGGCGCGCGCTGTATCCCTTAGTTACCTTAGAACAAATCCAAGGTCGCGTAAATTTAATGAGCTTGTCTTTTCTCCGAGTCAGTGAAAATTTGCTGCACTAAAATGTGGAGTACTCCAGTATACACTGTTAAAAAAAAAGGTGCAAATACCTACTTAAAAAGGTACAAAACGATGCAACACCACAGCCACCTTTTAAGGTGCACAATTGTACCTCTAAATAAAGGTGCAACCTTGCACCCCATTATATGGTACAGTAATGCTCCTTTGGGGT